TGATGTGGTATTTATTTTGCTCGCTATATACAAGTCTTTTGACTTAGATTTCGTAACCTTAAAATTTTGTCCATAGTAGCTCGACAAACGCACATTGTTTTAAGTCTTCTACCATTTTTGCCTGCCTCGTTTCGCAAACTTGGTACAGTCTCAAATATTTCGCCGGCATCGTTAGATAGACTTTCTATTTTCAGTACCGAGTTACAGCTTGTTGAGGAGACGAAGGAAGTTAACTTTTAACGAATTTGAGCATGCTAAAAAAATTAACAGGACTATTTCGCTGCTGGCTAAACCTCTGGGAATGTACCAAGTTGGAACCTATCTAAACTCCAACCAAACAAAAGGTCACGTCATCTTGATATTCAAATCAACTATCCATACTACCAGTGCGGAGGACTTCGGTCAAGATGCCTTCATCGTAGTACCCCTGAAAGTTCGAATAGGCTCAGAAAATGGGTACTAGTTGGGATGTATATTGCACATAAGGGCAGTAGAATTCTCTGCGCGTTTTACCAAATCATTGCTCATTATTTTTTCCACCTTTTGAATCTTCGTTTCGTGTTCTCAGTGATTCTAAGTAAATCAGCTCCACGTATTTCGCTTCAAAATTTTCTAAAGCTCTCTACCTTCTTTATTATTTTTAATAACCTTTTTATTGCTAGCTTTATTCCATTTTTTAGTGGTCTCTTGATTTGATTTTGGAAAGTGGGGTTGACTGAACTATTTTTTATTTTTTAGCCTTCCGGATTGTTCATTATATTTTGCACAGAAAATTATTTATATTCCTAGATTATTACCATAAACTTATTCTATTTAAAAATCAATTTAAGCTTGAGTATTACAAAAAAAAGATGTCTATTTAATTATACGAATTTTGTATAAATATTTTATATATATATACACGTTATATCTTGTTATCCCTATAGCTTTTAGGAAAATTGAGTCACGAGAACGCTTTAATGAGTGGGCTAACTATATATCTTTATTGGGGTGACTTTCATTTCGTATGACTGCATGAAGAAGAAATTCGTAGATCAATCTCATTATAAGAGGATGGATGAATCCCATTGTAATGTAGCTGTTTGGCTTTCATATGACGTTCAGGTTGACGCAGTCAACGAGACCTCTCTCGTTTCGGGTTAAATGGGCTGAGATGGAGTAGGTCTTGTGGACTGCGTCAACCTAAACGTATAAAAGCCAAACGGCTGCAGTACAACGGGATTGTGCCGTCTTCTTCTGGTGAGATCGACCTATGAATCTCTTCTTCATGCAATTTCATACGAAATGAAAGTCTCCCCACCAATGTTATCTCAGTAGATTAATCGAAACTCAGTTTCTCTTCGTATCTATCTTTACTTTCATAACCTTATGTTCTTATTATACTGCATTTTAAGACAGGCCAGGGTTGAGTTGGCCCGAAGCAACCATTCCTTTGCTGGTGACTTGCTCCATTCTGTTGTGCAGGCTAGTCAGCATTATCAAGATAGTTTGGCCACCAAGCCTGCCGCCGCCTCTTTGTCGCCTTTGTCGACCACTCACAGTATGGCTGCAAAACAAGATACGCATGAAGAACGAGATGTGGAGCCTGTCATGATAGTTAATGATGAGGACGACCGGCTTTCATCAACCCAACCGTTTTCTATGTTTGCTTCGCTGCTCCCTCCAATTGAACAGGGTGGCCTGGCAGCCTATGTCCGAATGGAAGTGAAGGCACATCTTGCGCTGGTAGGTTGACTACTTATCATACTAGTTATCTAGTTATTACGCTTTCCTTTCATTTTTATGCCGAAGTCTGTTTCTTTGTCTAAGGCTGATTTTTACTTATATTAAAATCCATTTCCGAGAGTCATTTTTCTTAACTTGAAGAATTTATGCAAACTTATAACTTTTGGCAAGCGTCACTTAGCAATTATTTATTTATTTTATTAATTGCTAACTATTTCGTTTTGCGTGAACTTCAGGCTTTGGTTTTTAACTTGGGCTAGTTACTTCAAATCTGTCAATACAGCTTCGTAGTTAAAATACAATTTTGTGCTATCAGAGGATATTAAAACAAAGAGTGTGTACACTCTACCTTGGTTTGACCTCATTTTTGCAACCTGGTCTTTTTATCAGAGACCAATATGAACTTTTCTTGTGTGGAGCCCTCTGCCGAAGTAGCCCTAATTTCCAGCCTTGAATGGTCGACTTGGCACATTCTAACATCCAAGGTGCATATACCAAATCCACAGTCCGATGCTGGAAGTTATGGCTACTCTAATAGAGGACTTGGGACAAGGCGCATCCGTCTAGGTCTCGCTAAAAACATGGCCAAGTTACGAAAATCAAGTCAAACCACTTTTTAACATAAAAGTGCTTCTCGTAGTTGTGGTACCGACATTTCTATTCATTTATGTAACGGTGTATTAGCTAAAATGGCTTTCAGCGACCACTTAGTGCTAACTAGAATTCAATAAAGCAGCCAACACCTGTTGGTCAGGATTAGAAAGAGAGAGGCAGTGAACGAGAAGTAACATTGAGTAAGAGGAGGGGGCTTGATTAGGTTTCTATCTGGTTTTGACTTTTACATCACACTCATTTCGAGAACAATGCATTCACACATACGCGTGCAATCCAAAGCAATCACATGCGGTAACATTGTAGGATCAAAGGCATAAGTATTTGAGGGTATTCTCAAGCTGGATGTGAGACTAATTTGAGGCTAAAGAGACCGAGTAATTCTCTTGGTCAAGCTTTTGCTTCATGGACCACTTCTGTGATCAAACACGTCTACTGTTATCCATCTAGCTCTAGTCTCAGCCGCATCTATCGTGCTTCTATCGTGCTTCTATCCATTCTACCACGTCTATGACTTACTATGCTCTAGTATCTTGTATACCAACCCGCAAATGCTGTGGTTATACATTGAACCTAATCAAACCAAGTAGAACCAAAACATTTGTGGGTTGGAACACAAGAGACTTGGGCATAGGAAGTCATAGACTTGGTACTATGGCTAGAAGCATGATAGATGCGACGGAGACTAGAGTTTGTTGTTTAATCACAGACGTGGTCCTTGAAGCAAAGGATTGACCCTGAGAATTATTTGGGTTCTTTGGCCTTAAATTAGTCTCCCCTTCAGCTTGAGAATCTTGATTTTTTAGCGACCTACTCGGTGAGGCCGGAGCATTGGTGTCATCAAGGGCTTGAGATAGTGTGGGAAATACCTCTTCGAGTAGAACATATTGGATGGCAATGGTCGGGTCAAATACCTGAACCATGAAGGCAGGAGGTGGATCCTACGGGGTAAGAGGGACCTATGGGAAGAGGATTGCGAGATGAGGGGGTGAGAAATACAGTGTGGGGTATGGAGAGTTCTCATAAAATCCCCTAAAAAAAGGCACACCATGCCACATTTAAATAAGAAATTGTAATAATGAATGCGTGATACGAGGATATAGGATTTGTGAATAGCCCAGGACAGAAGGAGAAATACCAGAATTGCTTTGAAGACAATTGGTCAACGGATCGGCTTCATTTGTTTCTTTTACGAGCTGTAGTGTGGTGCCTAGACTGGCAAAACCCCCTGATGATGCCGGCGAAGCGTATTGGAATGTAAAACGTCCATGGTTCGACTCTGGACGGACTATGGACTCCGGAATAGGTGTGTTCCTCTAGGCCTTTCTACTAATATGACCAAGTTGCGAAAACTTAGTCATATGAAACTTCTATACAATGAAAGGATACTGCGACCATATAAAGGCCACACCATCTTGATCTTCATATCTTTGATTAATCTTACTATTATTTAAATCTGAAATTTACAATTGTTTGGTACCCAAATGGCATCCCATGGATGTTCCGTAGTGGTACACTTTCGTCTCGATATTCAATACCTTTTTTCGAATTCTTTTTGGGTTTCTAAGGGGACTTATGTGAGGTGAAAAATACTCTTCATTTCGGACGAGAAAATTAAAATCATTAGGCCTACTCATTTTATTGTTAGAAACTCCATACTGAAATCAATCTTATATCATAAATGGAAGTTTATACTATGAGAAAGTAAGGGACTAGAATATTGCTTAATATTATGTTGCTCCAGACATTTGTTAGGGAACTCGAGAGAAGTATAGATCCTAGCTAATTATATTACAAA